TGACTAATGAGCTTAGTTTAACTGGTGAGTTCCAGGCTACTCAGAAACCTGTCTTGAGAAACAATGTGGAGCTGGGTGGTGGCGCTCATCTTTAATCCCAGCACTCAAGAGGCAGAGGCAAGTGGATCTTTGTGAGTTCAAGGCCAGCCTTGTCTACAGACCTATTTCCAGGACAGCCAGGGCTATATAGAGAAACTCTGTCTTGAAAAAACGAAAGAAGAAAGAGAGAGAGAGAGAGAGAGAGAGAGGGAGGGAGGGAGGGAGGGAGGGAGGGAGGGAGGGAGGGAGGGAGGGAGGGAGGACAGTTCATCTGGATTGTTGATCTCTGGGTTCCGTACACGTGCTCCTGCATGCATGTGCACATGCATGCTCACACACACATCCATAAATTTTTAAAATAAAAATAAAAAAATGCTTCCCTATTCCTCTACATTCCAAGCCTTGTGCTAACCACACCGTGTACCCTACAAAGGTTCATATGGGGTCGATATTATTATTTGCAGTTACCACAGAACCTAAAAGGGCTTTGACTACACTAGGCATTGAATAAACAAGGGGGAGTAAATGTAAGGACAAATATCAGTCTCTGTGCTCAAGGAAGTCTGGCTAGAGTGGGAGCGAGGGACACAGTCCAAGCCAGTTATAATTCAGGAGTAATGAGAGACTAGAGACCAGAGAAAAGGGGAGGTCCTCACCCAGCCTTCCTTCTCATCCCTTCTCCTTTGTAGCTCCTAGCACAGCTTCTTGTTAGGATGTGTCTGCTAGTCTCTCCTGTATACTTAGCTTTTTCTCGGCTGTATCCCTAATGTTTAACACAGGCCTTGGGGAGGTATTTTACAGTTGCTATGAGTCATGGGTGGTTGAGTGAATCAATGAATGAATGTTTCCCCATGGAAAATCATAGGAGATGGGTTGGAGACATGACTCAATAGCCAGGATGGCACACTGCTCTTCCAGAGGACCCAAGTTTGGTTCCTAGCACACACAGCTGCCTGTAACTCTAGCTCCAGAGGGACCTGCCACCTCTGGCTTCCCAGGGCAACAGCACTCATGTGCATACAGCCTCCCCCACAAAATCCCTACACATAATTTAAAAATAATTTTGTAAAAAATAATTAAGAGAACTTCCTTTATTGGTATAAACTGCTGTTTTCTTCCTTTCTCCCTTTGGTCCTAGGTATTGAACAGAGGACTAAGAATGTGCCCTACTTGAGTTACACCCTCACTTCTCAGCTTAAAACTATTCTTGCCATGGGGACTGGGAGAGCATGAACTGCCCTAAGCTTTATCAATACTAAACCTTGACAAAATAAAAGTGACAGAACCGGCATTGGGAGAAAGACATCTTAACACTCCATGCAGCCTCACCACTCTATTAATAAACACCGTCAGCACACACTTAATAAGCACCCATGCTGCATCAGGTGCATGCAAGACAAAGAAGACACAGTTTGTCCTCTTTAGGACAGCAGAGACTTTACAGGTGACAGTGTGCTCTGGGTGCTGTGAAGGACAAGGTCGTCATGGAAACCTGGAGGAGGAGAGAGGGAATTGTGCAGGTAAGGATATTCTGGGCAGGGGGGCAATGTGGCAAAGCCCAGAGGTATGGGCACACGGTAGTTTAGCAACAGTCAGTCCTGTCTGTAGGTTTTGTATCCACAAGCGCCAACAACTGCACTTTCAAAATACTCAGGCTGTAAACAAGATCTGTAACTGAAGATATACAGGCCTTTTCTTGTCACTGTTCTCTAATCAATTCAATAGAACACTTATTTGCATAACACAATGCAATAGGTAGTGTAGGGAAGTCAGACACGGCTTACCACAGAACAGGGTGTAACGGAACGTCCCTGTCATCCTAACTCTTGGGAAATTGAGGCAAGAGAGTCTCTTGAGCTCAGGAGCTCAAAGCCAAATTAGGTAATATAGTCAGACAATGGAAAATATAGTAAATAAATAAGGAAGAGTGCATGTATGTTATATGCAGTATGACCCCATTTTATATAGGGACTTGAGAACTCTGTTACCCACAAGGGTCCTTGCTATTGAATGTATAATATCTGGGGAGTAAGGATGTGGAATGGGGCCTGAGGCATAGATAGAGCAAGGCCAGAAAGGGCTTTACATGGCTGATAAAGAATTTAGACTTTAAGGATGAGGGCTCCATTGAAAAAATTATAAAATCTCCACATGATTGGATTTCAGTTTCGGAAGATTATTGTGTCAGTCCGCTTTCCATTGCTATAACAAGTACCTGAGAAAGTCAGCCTGTGCAAAGGTTTTCTTGGGCTTACAGTTTAGAGGCTCCAGTCTAGCATTCATTGGCCCCTTGGTTTTGAGCATGAGGTAAGGCAGCACACAACAGTGCCAGCGTGCAGCCCAGAAGCGAAAAGAAAGAAAAGAGGGGTTCCGTTACCATTTGAGGGCTCACTCCCAATGACTTGAAACCTCCCACTAGGCTGGGGCTGCTCAGGACATGCGCCATCAAGACCATGAATCATTGGGAGGACTGGTCTGGGAGCTGGTGACACTGCATAGAATGTGGTCCATGAAATATGGGTTGCTGGCTTCACCACCTTCCCTAGGCTAGACAATGATCTTTATCAGCCATAGTTTCTGTGACTCCAACTGATAGTAATGGACCACTACTGACTACATTCTTGGGAAGATCAAATGGAGTTGAGACACCCAGTTACTGCTATTCTCTCAGGGTTATTTGTGAGGATATTGCTTTGTTCATAACAAGGGTACCAAACCAAATGGCTTAAGTGATACAGATGTTTACTTCTCTCTTATTACAAGCTGGTCTGGCTGCTCAGGTATAGAAAGTCACAGGAGGACCAATTCCTTCCAGGTTGTTGGCAAGGGTGCCTTCTTTCACGTTTCAATATGGCTTTCTGCCACCTTCCATATTTGTCTTGTGTCCTTGGTCCTTAGAAGCACATGACTTCCTTAGGGAAGTCCTCCTTGGTCCTCTAGGCTACATTAGAAATTCCCATACCCCTTTGTTTATCCTTCACGAAGCTTGGAAAGCTTGTACTCTCGGTTTACTGTCATTTTCTCTGAGGGTACACTTGTGAGACTGTGGGACTGTGTTTGAATTCCTCCCTGGAACCTGCCTATGACACGCAGACAGATGCTCACAATGTCCTTGTTGACTAACAGTACTGTCATCTAAGGCTCTGGGACGCCCTTAACACAGAACACTACAGTATGGAATGAAAGAGACCTCTCCATCCCAGGGTGCGTTAGGAACAGAATGAGTCTTCTCTACCGTTTCCTTGGTGTTGTGAGTGTGCTGTCAAGAACACAGACGAACACACTTGGATCTTCCCTCAAAGTCCGAATTTATTAAAAAACAATAAATTCACAAAGCACAGCAATTTTGTTGTCAGCAGTTCCTGAGTAGCCCGCTTTCCTGGCTGAGGAAAATACACAGTTTGGTTTTTTTATTCCAATCTTTTAAAAAGCACGTATTTATGTATTTATTTATTTCGTGTGTGTGTGTGTGTCTTGTGAGCACACACCCATGCACACGTCAGAGAACAACTTGCAGGAGTGGGTTCTCTCTATCCTGTGGATCTGGGGGTTGAACTCAGGACAGTCAGTCTGGCTAGCAAATTCCTTGACCTGCTGAGCTATCTTGCTGGCCACAAAAAGCTTAAAACAGCCCCACGAGAGTTCTAGGAGTTAAGAGGTCCGAGAAGCAGAAACCAAAAGGGATGCAGAGAAAGTCTCCATGAAAGAAAGCTGGTAGACCCAGGCAGGGGGTGCTGCCAGTGCTGCCACCCTGGAGTTAGGCTGCGGGGCACTGTGGAGCTGTTGCAAGGTGCACTGCAGACTGGAGAGGTGAAAGACAGGACCTCGTCCAGGCAAGTGAATAGCAGACATATGGACAGCTGCTTCAATGCCAGGGACTGATCCACACTGAAGCCTCTGGGATGCTAGAGTCTCTGAGCCCTTTGACAGGTGGATGGGGCTGTTGGCATGACAATATTAGGCCTCCTCCTCCTCGTGTGGTCCAGGTGAGGGAACTGCCCTCTTTCCTCAGGGTGCGGTGCTTGACAATTCTTGGGCCTACTTCTCCTGATCTGATTTTAAAAAATCATGTGCCCCTATAGTCCCAATTTATCTTAATAAATTGTTAGGGTGGTGCCCTTTCGACTTCCAGGACAAAGCAATTCATCAGCTTGTGCCTGGTGGGTGGCACCAGACAGATGGTGCTGTTTATATCCACCAAGGTGCTGAGTCACCTCCATCCTCAATGAAGTCAAATCGCCTTGAAGATGGAGTCTCGGAGGCACAACTTGAAAAAACATTGTTTTATACAATATGGAGGAACTTGGACCAGGGTACATACAGCCTGATCTCAACAGTTGGCCTTGGGAAGAAGGGTGTATCTTTCTGAGAATGTAACCAGGATCCTAGGCCAGAGAGTTGGGGGTGGGCTGATGGTATGGGCGGTAAGGGAGTCGGCAAATTCCAACAAACTAACTCCCACTACTCTATCCAAGAATCAACCAGAGGAGTAATGGGGTTTTAATCAGCATGGCCAGGTACCAAAGACAGCAATCAAGAACTTCAGCCTAGCTTCAGGGACAATTACACTAGTGTTAGGGTTTTCATTTCGTTTTGTTGGTTTTTGTTTGTTTGTTATTCCACCCAAGGTTTCTCTGTGTAACACCTCTGGCTTCCTGGAACTCTCTCTGCAGACCAGTATGGCCTTGAACTTGCAGAGGTCTAATTGCCTCTGCCTTCAGAGTGCTGGGATTAAAGGTGTCAGTTTTAAATAGAGAAAAGATTGGGGCACAGGGCAGAGTAGTCTTGGTCAGATTGAGATTTGGATGGTCATTATCTCGGCCTCATAGGATTGCTCCTACTTGGTGGGGAGGGGAAGTTTCAATCATGGGGAAATTGTTCTCATTTGGGAAGTGACATCATAATGGGGTGATCTGTCTGTAAGACTTCACTGTCCCCTGGTATCCAAGGGACAATGACTAGAGACTCATGGGTGCTTTTTCAAGGGTCTGGACAGGATGTTGTAAAAAAAGCTAACAGCAAATAGCTTATTTGTTCATATGTCTTGAAACAGGGATGAATAAAGTCAGGTAAAGACAGTGCTAAGCAACTTTGTATCATACATTTTTAGACAGACACTCCTTAAGTGACTAATACGGTGCCCTGGTGCACTGAATGGGTACCTGACCCAAAGCTGGAGACGGGTGCAAAATGAAGGAGATACCAGCTGTTTATCCTGCATTCAGTTACCTCATGGGCCCACGTAAGTAGTCAGGGCTTCTTAGGAAAAGCAGTTTCCAAGTGTCTGCTGTTAGCAGGGTTGGTTGGTGATCTATCTGCTGGTGCTGTGTGTTTCCAGTCCTCGGAGTTCTTCCTGTGGGGTCCTGGCATGGTGTGAGTCTGCCTTGGACAGTTCTGGAGCAGGAAGCTGCTCTTTCATGATAAAGTGGCTCTGGAGCTAGGACCTGGGTGTGTGTGGGGGGTGGGGTGGGCAGTGAGTATCAGAGAGGGGAAGAGCTTGGCCCAGAGCAATGACCTGGTCCTAAGGATGCCACAAGAGGCCTGGTTTTCCTGTCCTGGTCTCTGTAATGCAGCCAGTAGACCTGCTGCCTTCTTGTGAGGGGCAAGGAAGAACCTCAGTGGGGGACATCCCTGGGGAGACTGGCCACAGCAAAGACTGCCTAGAGTGTGCGCCCAGTTTGAGGCTCTGGGACCACAATCAGAAGCTCCTTTTATCTCCAACATGACTCTGACTCCTACCGTGAGCAGAGGGTTGTGGCCTCCACTTGACCTCCAACATATTACCTGCTCACCAACCCTGTCTTTTCTTGGGTTCAGACCAGAGGGAAACCTGGCTTGGTTGTGAGCAGCCAGCTCTTTTTGGCAGTCTCCAAAGTCAGTCATCAGACACCCAGCCCCAGGACTTAAGAGGTGCTCAGGTTTCACTGATGAATGAAATGAGCCCACTCGAGAGCCAAGTCCAGATTTCCTCGCTTATATTTGTCCTCAAGCTCAAGGTGGGGGAGGAGAGAGCAGCCAGCAGCCCCTTGGAAATTTGCCTCATGCTTGGCACCTGGGAAACCGTTTCTCCTGCTACGGCATGGGATTGACTGGGGAATGAACACGATTGCAGTTTCATTTTGACCACTGGGTTTCTTCCCCCATAGGACAGTTGTGGTCCTTCATTTCTGCGGGTCTCTCTGGCTGGCATAAACTGAGCAGACTTTTCTCACTGGGGTTCTGGGCTAGAAACTCCTCCTACTCGCTTCTGCCCCTGTCTGGAACAAACAGCAATGAAGAGGGATGAACTCTGGCTGGGGCTTCTTCTTTTTCAGGACAGTTTCACTATGAACTTAGAGCCCTGGATTCCTTTGACATGCTGCCCCTCTCCAGGTTCTTTGTAGAGAGTCCATATCTCTGTGGGATGACTGGCCCCTCCCACTGTCGGGAGCGAAGGATCTCTCTGAGCTGATTCCACCCCTGACTTTTGGTTTCACTTACTTCCGTCCGATGCAAACCCCAGATTGTCCACCTGAGAAGTCTAAACAGCATTACTTTGTGGTATCTAATCTTGGTTGTCAACTTGACTGCATCTGGAATCAACTAAAATCTAAGCTACTGGGCTGTGTTGTGAGGGATTTTTTTGATCCAATTATTTGAATCAAGAAGCATCACCCCAAATCTCCACAGCACGTTCTACTGCAGCCCACACAGGACAGGGAGAAGGAAACTTTACCTTTTGCCTGATTGCCCTCACGCTCAGCGGCAAGTCCACCCATTCTGGTGCTGTGACATTCCCTCACCAACGTTAGGACCACTTCCTCAGGGTTCCAACCTAGACTGAAGACAAGCAGTGCTCCAGGAGTCCTCCAGGCCTTCAGTGACATTGAAGCTGCTGAGTCATCCAGTCTCCTGGACTGAGCAACTACAAGAATTCTGGTCTCCTCCAGTGTGAGTCAGCCACCGTTGAACCACCCAAACGGAATCCTGTAAGTCAACCTAAAAAATCCCTTTTTGTGTTAGCCTGACTAATACAAACTTTCTCTAGTACCCTTCTCTTCTGGGGAAAGAAGATGTTGACCAATTTATATGTACAATCTAGCTCTCACTAAATTTTGGCAACAAAGAGTGGTAGAAAGAGTGTGACATAAAGAATGTTGTAGAGTTTTCTTGTCCGCATGGGTCCCACCATTCTTCTCAACCTCACGTTGGGCGCCATTTACAGAATGCTGATTTGGGAGGTAGGGCTTCCGAGTTCTCATTCTGTCTTTGCCATTCACCAGCATGATCTGGAGAAGGTCATTTCAGTGTAAGGTTAGACATTGTGCCTAGTGCTGGCTGACACAAGTCTATACTAAATACATTCACGGTCTCTTGCCAGTTTGAACAGCATCTTGTCACTTCTCACATTTGATCACCGTGAATATGCTTAGATGAAGATCTGACCTTGGTACTAGGATGATTCTAATACTGAGAAGAATCTGAGCCGTCTGACTTCGGCAGACAACTAGCCCAGACTGGATCTTTCTTGGTGTATTGGTGGTGGGATTTCAAAGTAAAGCAGGGTTAGTAGGCTGGCGTTTAGGTTATTCCATTTCTGTTCCCAACAGGGTATGAGGCAGCCTTACTATCTTATACTGAATAAGAGTGAGGATAGAAGTAGGAGACACCCCCACCACCACTATAATTGGGGCTGGAAGCAGGAATGAAAGTAAAAATACTCTAGGGTTTTACCTTTCTTGCTCCATCTTTCCACTTCCCTGCAGCATTGAGGGAGTGGGGAATGGAGCAGTAAGTCTGATTGGGAACTCTCCTGAGTTCGGCAGGCTCTCTGTTGATTGGTCTTTAGTCTTCATCTCATTTGCATGCTTACCCCCAGCCAATCAGATCCCATCTGGGTCTATATAAACCTCTGGGCATAGCCTTGTCATCAGTCTGGCCTTTGGACTAGAACCTTGGCTCTTCAGCAAGAGGTTCACTCCCACTCACCAGACGTGTTCACCAGAGGAAGATTTAACACTTATCCTGCCTCAGTGTCGAGTCCCTGAGACAGCCCACCAGGCCAACCCTTTCTGCTTCTACGACTTTAACTCTCTGTGGGAACCTGTTTTTGGGGGTTTCTGTTTTGTCTTGTTGAAATAGGGTTTCTCCATGTAACAGTCCTAGCTGTACTGAAACTTGCTTTATAGACCAGGGTGGCCTTGAACTCACAGAGATCTGCCTGCCTCTGCCTCCTGAGTGCTGGCATGTGCCACCACTGCCCAGACAGGCCACCTGTTCTTTATAGACTCCTTTGGAGGCTGCCACCTCCTCCTGGTTGGCATCCTGATGCTACTGAGCATTCAGAGTTTTAATTCTTCTATCCATGTTGTCACTCCCACAAGGTATATAAAGTGCCCCCTGAGCCACTGAGATGGCTTATCAGGGAAAAGTACTTCCTGCTAGGCTCGGGATCTGAGTTCAAGCCCTAGGACTTACATGGTAGAAAGAAAGAACTAACTCCTGTAAATTGTCCTTTGTCCAACACACACACACACACACACACACACACACACACACACACACACACACACGCACGCACGCACGCACGCACGCACGCACACTAAATAAACAAACAAAATGTAATAGAAATTCTTGTGTCCACTTCATTCTTAGAGGAAGTCAACAACTGACAAGAGACTTGGCTGCCTCAGCGAGTAGGAAGTTTCCCGATAGACCACCATCCCCTTTGCTCAGTTCTTCTCACGAAGGTCTCTCCAGACATGAACATGACACGCCTCATACCCCATAAGACAGTTCTCCATGAGGTTCATTGCACCCTGTTCCCACCATGGCTTCGTAGGTGTGTTTGACTGGGCTTAGAACCAATGACAATCACATTCAGCAATGCTTGTCACCCAGCAGCCGTGTGTCAATAACTTCAGCTTTCCAAAACCCTGCAGAGAAACCCACTTTCCAGACAAACACAAGCATTATGTTTTCAAAGGCACTGGGTCCATTTTCTAGAAATGTAATCATTTGAAGGGATTTTCCCTCTGTTCTTTTACAACAATGAAGATGTTGTAAGGCTTGTAAGTTGTACTGTTTCTGTGAGAAACATCATGGGGACAAGTGGACTTGGCAAATAAATTCAGAAAAGCATACTTTGCCTTACCAGGAAAGCCGCAGACCCTGACAGCCAGAGTGTCTTTTCTGGAACACAGACATGATAGATAAACAATGGCCCATAGGATAACCCAAATGAATCCGGGAGGGGATGGTGTGTGGGCCAGTGCCCTTGAGATGGATACTCTTAGTTTTCATGCAGATCTCAAGATGATGCTGCTAGCTTTGGGGGTGCCTACATCACAGTGAGTAGGCTGTGCCCTGTGTCTAAACCCAGACCACTGGTTTCAGTTCTAGGCTCCCCCAACTGAGAGGCGGAAGAAGGAACAGGCATTTTTAGCATTCTCAGGCTTTGGCTCTGTTAGAAATTTGTGCAATAGAAAACAGATTGCTCCAACTTACTTGCTCTGATTTGACTGTCTGCCTTATTGCTTTCAGGCCTCCAAAGGTCTTGCTAACCCAGGCAGCACTGGAAAAAAATTCTCTACTTTTGTTCTTTCCGTGTGCGACTTAGTCGCACTACATGAATTTAGCTTCCTGTTGGCTTTACTGGACTCATGGCATGACTATCTTAAGTTTTATACAAATATTAAATTAACATTCCCTGTGCAAGCCAAAGTTATAATCATTAATTTGGCTTATGTTTAAAACAGTGATTCCCATCTCAGGCTACACATTGATAAAATCACAGCCTCTTTATAAAAATTCCCATGCTGGAGGCCCACGCCTCAAAAATCTATTTTAATTGATTTGGAGTGGGGCCTGGGCATTGATTTTTTTAAGCTCCCTGCTGATTCTAATTGCAGCCAGGATGCAGAGGTATTGTTCTGAATGATGCCGGAGAAGTGTGTTAATTTAGTTGAGGGGGAGACAGTTTTGCTGGTTTTGACAGTTTTCAGCCCCATATCTGGAGAGGAACAAAGCCAAAATCACAGGGCAGTTACATAAGGTGTGGAGGACAAGCCACTTCCAAACTGGCAATCGAGAGCAGTGATGCGGAAATACAGGGCGGGCACTGACTACACGCGTTTTGACTATAGAACCCAATAATATTAGATAATAACCAGTCTGTGAGCAGAAAGGATCAGAAACAATTAAAAAAGAAAAACTTACACTTTCACTAACCTGCACTGAAAATGACTTCATGCTTCTGGTATCCCAGCACCTAATAAGCCCATTACACAGATTTATGTTGCTTCAAATCTCAAAGCATCATCAATCTAGTGAATTATGATGACTAGAGATGCAAGTCACCATCTCTTGCCTGGGAGAGTGTGTCTGCAGCAGTGAGGGTAAGACAATTCCGATAGCAGAGGAGACAGAACAAAGGGCAATCCCTGAGCCGGCGATTCTGAGCTCCTTAATAGCCAGGGACTGATCACTGCTCAGCAGGATTTCCCAGCTCCACAAATGGCTGGAACCTTTGTTTTCTCTGGGAAAGACTGGCCCATTAGCTCACTGACTGCATTACAGCTTAATTTGTGTTTTTTTTTTTTTTTCCAACATGATGAAGGGGACAGACACTTTTCAAAACTCAGAGGATATCTAAGGGAGAGTCCTTCTCTTTAGCCGGCATCATTAAGCATATGGTGCCTCAGGGGATGGGAAGGCCATTAACTGACAGAAGCCAGGAAAGGGATGAGCTCACGGAAGAGGAGGCAATGGGGTGGATATGGAAAGTGCCGCCACAGAAAGGGCCTGGTACTTGGGAATCAAGCTCAGTCTAATTGTGGTTAAAGAATGGTCATCTTTTGAATACATCAGGCTAAAGAGTTAGACATTTCCCTGAGGAATAGATGCATTAAATTCACAGACTGGATTCAGACAGACTTCTGCGTCCAGTGGACATTTCCCTGGGCCAATTCCCCCAGTACAGCTCTGCCTGCTCTGAGGGTCCTCTCTGCCTTGTCTTAGTGTAGGAGCACTGGCTGGCTTGCACATGGAGCTACCTGAGCCCACATTGCCTAGAAGCTGATGTTTAAGGCTTGAACAGCACCTCCTTTACAAATAAATGGTAGCCTGGCTGGCGTAGGTGCTTAGCATTTCCTGAAAGACCTTCTTTACAAAGCACCCAGAAGATTAACTGACCCTTACCAAGTTCCCTCCTAGCCTCCGGTGGAAAGGGAAACCTGTCGTGGTTCCCCAGAGTGACAAAAGTAGGGTCCTGGATGCTTGGTCATGCTGGCTCTTCCTCTCCAGGGTCTGTGACTAACAGAGGTGGAAGTTTTTGTGCTGTAAACCAGAGAATCTAACAGGTAGGGTACACTGGGTTCCAGAAAAGGTAGGCACGGGCCCTGAGCATAGCCAAAGCGGAATCCTGGGCAGTCTACCCACCCCCACGGTCCTTGTCTTAGAGTCTAATTGCAAACAGCTAATCACACACTGAAGACTGACTTTAATTCTTTTACCCAGTTAGCAAAACACAAGTGTTGGTTTTGCACAGGTAGATTTCTATCTCCTTCCGTGTCTGACCCAGCCCTGCATTCATAGTGTACTCTTCCTGTGCTCCAGGAGCTCCAAGACTGAGGTGATCAGTGAAATGGGGCTCCCCTGCTGCAGGCAGCCACACTCACTCAGCGTCCCTGTGGAAGGCTCTTAGCGACCTCCATTGAATGACATTCATGTCTGTGTGTTCCACCTCTAACGAGCACTGAAAACCAGATGCCAAGCTGAAGTCATCAGGAAAGAGGTGTCGGGGAACCACGAGGTGGGAGAGTAAAGTCGAAACCTGTCAAAATGTTCCTAGCAGTTCCCTTGCCTCCTGGTGTCACCTTATGGCCCACCTCCTCAGGGTAGATAGCCTCTGCGGTGTGGGGGTGGGGCAGAGGATCTGTGTCAAGCATCAGGAGAGGTGTCTTTTGTTTTAATCAACTCTGTGGCTTGT